GTCATATTACGAAGTGATGTGGTGCTGCAAGATGTATTTAGCTAAATAAGTTTTTACAAGATGATTAATAGTGAGTGATGCTCATGTGATTATCAGGGAGAACATAAGTTGTAACCAAGGGGAGTACACTCCCAACTCATGTCTATGATAATGGCTTGAACCTTAGTCAGTGTTGGGGTAAATTCGACATTGATGTTTTCAGTTTGCAGGAGATTTGCTCGACTGCTTATACTGATTATTTGCATGCATGATTGTGTCGCTAAACCATCAATTAGACTGACAAGGTTTTGAGATATTTACTGAATGAGCAACTGATAGAGAAACATACTGTAATCATCTGTGATGGATAAAGATACCAAGAAAACAACACCATTCAATGGTAATTATAAGTCAATTTTTTTTACCGATTTCGTTAATAGTTTTATTAATTTTATCAGTCATATTACGTGATTGTCAAGTTATGACAATGCTTTATGACGATATCCTGAAACTATTAAATTTAACTAGTTATAGTGTTGATTGAGGATAAGTCAGTGGAAAAATAGGTATTGTTGCTTTAGGTGATTCGAAATCATCAGAAACTTATAACGTTAAAGAATCCGAGACGCCTAATTTAATTATAAATTTCAATTCAGAAATATTCGTTTAGTGTTAATTCTAGCAGGCTACGGAGTTTTGATTTTAAACGTTTGTTTAGTCAACAGCTACCTGGGGATTTAGTTATTTTACTAGTGCAGTTGATAGTACCTAAATTTTTAATCTTATTATCTAAACTATGTTCGCATTTTAGGCTGCTAATATGATAAACCAATCCATAAAGCCAAATACGATTAGCAACAACGACTATGATGGGTTTATTGATAAATGTTAAAGGCGATTCAGATGATTTCTAAATTTAGAAGACATGAAGATATAGTGTTACGTATGTGCGGACCAGGTTAACAAGCAGGTTGTTGACGTATATAAAAATTTAAAAATAATAAACATGACCAGAAAATAATTTTAAAGTTTAGACTGCTTGTGAAACTTCAGGCAGGAATATGACGCGTTATAAACATTCCATAAGAAGTTACTGCATTTAGCCTAGGGACACTTACAAATATATAGCAAAAGGAACCGGAAAACATATACATGTTAAGTACAAAAAATCACTAAGTAAAATAGTTGAACTCGCCTGGGTTATTTTTGAAAATTAGATTATTTAGTGGACGACATATATAAAGCCATTCGTGAGGAGTAGTGATGATCCATAAGTATCCAGAATAAAACATGCAGTATGGCAATTAATTCCATGATGCTTGATGCTGTTGACGTTTTTGGGACTCGCTCTGATCAGAACAACTGAATGAATCCAGATAATTGTGTGTGCCATTGAATGAGCCATCTAAAATGAACTTATGATTGCAGAAAACTTATAGCTGAAACTCACCGTATGTTTTTGGAGAAGTGTCATCCTCGTTGTTTGGCAATGGAACTCGAGAATATGAAATTAGGCAGGCAGTGGTCGGAAGAAAAGATATTACAGGATAGTGCATCGTTTAAAACAGGATGAGGTGTTAAGTGAAGGAACACTGAGAATTATATCCAGATAACTATTTAGTCCTTGATCGCATTGTTAGTCAATGTATATTTACGCTATTTACAGGTCATATTTGCTAGAGCTTGATGTTTAAACAAGACTATGTCGCTGAAGCATGTAAATGCTATTACAGCTTGTTAACAAATCATCAAAGCTAATTAGTTAATATAGACGACCAGTTTTTATTATCGACTGAGCTAGTTTGTCATGAGGACTAATCAATATAACATTACGATAATGCATGTGAGCATTAATCAGAGGACTATTAGAATAGTGTTAACATAAATATAAAATCGATCGAGAAAGTTGAAGTGGAAATAAGGATTAATAATAATAGGTTGCGTTTTTCTAGTCGGGCTTACCAATGTAGAACTATGGTCTACTATGATATTATTACTGCTCTAATAATAGACCTAATCCTAAAATTGTAGATTTGTCATGATATAACTGCCTAATCTATAAGATCTTACGTGGAAGTCACACCATCGACTACACCAACTCACTGTATCGTATCAATTACCAATACATGATGCAGAACAAGGTTAGGATAGAGAAAGAACAATATATTTAATATGAATAGAAGATATAAAATAAGATTGAGATGGACCACGCCTGCATGGCCGAGCCATGCCACTCGATCAACCCCAGTCCATTCAATTCATTCTCCGCGCCTTCTCCATTGTTAGGTATTTCCCCGAGTTAAATATTGAATATCTATTTTCTGAGTAGTCTCGTGTTCACAGCTTTGTGGATTGTGTGGCTATTGTCCAATGCCACTACATAACTCACCAAACTTATGGTTGCTGGTTAACTGTGGTCGATCATAAGAAGCTCATATTATCATGACTTATTGTGAGTTCCTTCCAGTTCATATTGTTCTCATTAAAAAGTTTTGATGTTCCAAATGCATTAGCATTCAAATATTTTTTCTTCTCACTTAATTATTATCTCACTCATAGATTTTGCAACCGTAAACTCTTTTCTTTCATCTATATATTTTACAATCTTCAAACTACAAACCATCTGACGAGTGTCTCTTAACTTGTACCATTGGTTAACTTAACGACAGTGTAATATATAAAAAGGATATCTAACCCACCATAGTGAAGCCTTAGCTATCTGGTTTACTTGTAACATGGAATTGGTGGAGACAATTTATTCCAACAAGGTGTGAGAATTTGGGCGTAGATTAAAGCCATGTTTAAACATACCATAAACGTAAGACGGTCTCACATCACAAAAGGAGGGAGTGTGATTTTTTTGACCAGCGAGCATGATAAGGGGGAGAAAACTTCGGCCCGTTCATGCCTGTAGGGTAAAAGATTCTGTTTACTTTCAGTTCCTTATGGTCTAGTGGGATATGACTAATCAATGGTATTGGTATTATGTTTCCATGCCAAATATCTCATTGACTCGCGTTTGTAACCTTGAATCGTTTTCACTTTTTACCGAGAAATCCAACTGCAAATCAAACTGGACAATAACGCTAATAAGGAGTTGACTCATGACGTTATAAAAGTTGTAATCATCCAAAGCAGTAATAATCACCACCATGGAAAGTTCATTTGTGTACACAAACGCTGTGTTTTCCTTAGTACATTTTTGAGATTAACACTATCTCAAACTTTCACCTCTTTAGGATCTCCTCTATATATACAATTCCTTATCCATTTGCTGCCATACTCATGCCTTGTTTCTTTAACCTATGAAAATACCCTTGGATAAAAATGGATCTAATAAAATTAAATAGGTCTAAGTAAACATACCTTAATTATTTCACCACAAGCGACTTAAATTTACTAGTAATGAGCATTGTCTATTCCGATCCTAATACTTTTCCCATTTATTTTTAAGGACCTTATGATATACAGCCAGAAACACCTATTCCGACGCCCTTATTAATACTTCTAGTATTACTGAAGGATATATCGCTTTGTTTACTAGTAGCCTATTAACTTTGTTCTCTGGGAATACTATCATGAAGCATAGAATGATGCATTAAAGCTGAAGTTTTTAACTAGTCGATTGTGCACTTATCGCATCATTTCTTGATACAAATGGCCATGAAATTTACCTGGGTTCATTCTCAACCACCAGTTGGAACCTCCATAAAACACGACAATTGTTACACTGATCTGGCAGGTGTCAATATCAGGAGTTTAAAGGAAGACAATCTTAGGTCCTCTCCTCTTCCTAATCCTTATTAATGACTATTAGGACAAAGTTAGCCCTGCGGCACTTGTCTATGCAGACACTACAGAGATTTAGAGTTTTGTGAGAAACCCAAAGGAAATCTGATCGGTTGTCTCAAACTGAAGTCCACGTTTTATGCGAATGAGAGATCTGATTATGGCATAAAACATATTACGTACTCCAAGTCACCCCAATACAAACAGCTTATCGGAATATCATCACATCCATCGAGGCAACCCTCAGAAGGTTGCTTATCAAAGGGCGGTAACGAAACTATGCCCTCACTTTCTAGCATTAGGAGTTGTCTTTATTTAGAATGATCTCCCAGCCGGAGCTATGACAGCCCCATCAGAGGATAGTTATAAGAAGACATTTGATAAACACGTACTCATTCATGGATTGCCATCTCCCACCTGGACTGGCTTTATGTGAGGCATGTGTTACAAATCACCACTGCTTTTATTACTGCGAAACCAGTAGCTACGTCCTACCTCTTTTTATCATCTCTTGTCCTATTATTTTCTTTTGATTCCTTCTTCCTACATATTATCAATTAAGTAAATTATTTATTTACTCTTAAAATAATCGTCTTCTCTTGGCATTCGAATTATCACTATATTATCTTTTATGTTCCAAACAACTAACCTACTGCTTGGTAATGTGATGAATGCTGATATCCGAAATTCCTGCTGCTCTGAGACGAACGCACTGGCTTAAACTTCAGAACATACAAATACATAAATAACCACCGAACCGATTAGAATTAGTGCGATTGAGCATCTTGAAAAGCACACACTGACCATAACCATACTTGAATCTGTACAAGAATAACAAGAAACGAGCGCAAAGAAACCAGTAGATTGATAGTAGCTGGTATCAAATAAATGTTGAATATCATTGTAAGTAAATTTCAATACTAACACTGTCTCGGATCATAAGTTAAACATGACGTTCAGGAAATAAACAGTTAAAATGGGAAGCTTGTTATTCAACGAAATTTAGTCATTGATATAACACAAAGTGGGTTGAGGAAGGGTTCTTCATTCTCACTCATATGTACAAATTCAAACAAAAGGATCTTACATGGGATACTCAGAAAGTAAAGCCACCTTCATACACACGCAGACAGTGTGTTTACTCGAATTATCAATTTAAGCGAAAGTTTCTTCTATTCCGTCCACAACCGTTTGAACCATTTCGAACCATACGTCCTTGACGAATTATAGCTCTTGGTTCGTAATGTGACCTTGTCGATAGCGTATTCTGGTTGTGTACATAGGTGGTTTTAGACATAGTATTCTTCGTCCCATGTTGTTCTTTATTCTTGATGAGCTGTTCGTCCTGATTACGTCTTCTTCTCTCCGATTATCTACCGATCACTAAGGTTTCTGTATCCTACAGCGATATAATCCATTGGAAACATTATGGAAACCTCATTATAAGTTGACGGGTTTTATTAAGCCTATGATCACTGATGTTTTTATTTTACTTAGATACTACGACCGATAATTCGCTTGTTTCCCGTGATGGTGGGCCATTTTTGTTTTCTTAATTCCTCGAATTTTAATGGATGACTTTTATCAATGTTGAATCTAATTACGTTTTTTTCTCTCTCTCTATATATATATACTTGCCGTAAGACAATTTTACGACAGTTCTAAAGTTTAGGGACTGACTTTTAGATGGTTTCAAAGTATTCTGAAATTTTATTGTTCTAGGCTCATGATAGTGATTCAACTATTAAGTTGGTATTCACCATTTAAAATGTAGTATGAAATAGTTTTCAGCCCACAAATTAGCGGTAAAGTTAGTCTTTACGAGAGAGTGCGGGTAAATGTCCAACTTGACCTCGAGAACCGTAGTATATGAATTACTTTTTGTCAAAGTGTCAGGGAAAGCAAGATGTGATAAGTTTCAGTTTCAGTCTCAACTTCAGTTTGAGAAGGACAGAAGCCTAAGTGGCCCGTGTTATTTCTAGCAATAATGATCTTATTTGAGGTGATTTTGCACCAATTTGTGTATCGATAGAGCATCAGTTATCGACTAAGTCCTTGTTCTCTTAATTATTTTAATCTTTTTTGACTAGAAATTATCGTCCAGATATGTGTAATTCAGAAGAAACATCTCACTGGCGTTCTTGCAGAAGGTTAAACGACATTTGGACCCATACTGAATTGGTCTTATTACAGCCTCAATTATTGGTACACGCAATAATTGGTCAGAAGTAGCCAGCGTCAAGTTAGCGTTTTGAAAAGTTGCCAGCAACTTTCTCAGTTGCTCGAAAGCACTTCTGTGAACTACTGTACGGGGATAGTATCTTTAAGGAATGCTTTTCAGATAACCTCTATGTTCTATTTATAAATTAAAGATAACCATTTGAGACGTAGATGACAGACACATAAGGCAAGGCCATATAAAAGCACATAAATATAATTACTCAGGTTATTGATAACGGAAGTACGGAGGAATGTCACAAGGTACCTGACATGGCTAGAATAACAATATGGACAGAGGTGCTAGGACAAAAATAGGCTACACAGGAGTGTGATAAGAGTGGCTACAATTTAATTGTGCAGTTACAGAAGTCTAAACACATCTGTGAGTGGCTGATTAGCCAATTAAATCTTTGTATATTTGGCTATAAATCACAGGTTTTACAATAGGATTAATATTTTTACACCTCTAACGAGACATATGTGAACGAGAATTTTTAATTCTCACCTTTATGTTTAGAAGGTAATTACTTTTACCTCTTTATATCAGAAATCGGAAATTCAAATGACACATTTTGTAGGTGAATTTGTTCATATTTCAATGTACTAAATAGACTGTTAATTTGCTTTATTCTTATTCTTGTTTGGATAGGTGTGGGATCTTAGTGGATAAAACTATTTTAACTATTCTGAGTGATATCATATACCACTTATAAACTACAAACTACAGGATCTACACCATACTTATGATATTGATTTCTGTGTTCTGGATATTAACAGGTTGTTTCTATTTCACTTCTTAATTGAGTTGTAGTTATATTACTCGATGTCAGATGTGAAGTGTTCGAACTGGATAGCAGGTATTCATATAGTATTTGAATTTATTAAACATTAATACTTTTTAGATTCATTGAGTTTATCGACAAGGGTCCTTGGCTTGTCCAGGTAATTGTCCCACGACAGATAGATTTAATACTCTTAGTTTTATGCTCCTTGGTGTGGATTCTGTCGCCGTTTGGTTGGTACATACGAAGAAGCCAGCAGGATACTACTTCATACGGAACCTTCAATCAAAGTTGCTAGACTTGACGCCACAATATACACCGGAATAGCCAAGATGTTCGATGTGCGAGGTTTCCCAACAATTAAGTAGTGAGTGTGTTTTAAGATTTTTATCTTAAGCTTAAGTCATAAAATCCTAATCACTATGTGGTTGTGGAAATTGTTGGATTTTATTAGGATCACGAACTAATATAGGCTAGACAATCATCAAAAATATGGGAGAACTGGATGACCGCTTCATCCTAGTATGGGACTCAGTAGTGCTCATCCACGACCCTGCGACTAGAAGTCGAACCCAGGGCTTTCGATTGCTAACTATTAACTTCAAAACTGCTTAGTCGGCATTCGGTGGTGCACAATTCTGACTTCAATCAGTCCACGGTGATATGCGACCATTCTCCATTGCCCTTGGTGAGTACCTTACATCTGGCGTGACTGAACTTTATTGATCATGGATTCTTACCAGATCTCAGGAAATCTTCTCTCGAAGTTAGTCATTAGTGAGAACATGGTTTTATTTGTCATAATAATTAGTAACTCATCTGTCGTTTTGTTTCGTTCATAGAAATCCATTCAAAACCTAGTGTATTTTTCACGTATAAAATTAACAAACTGGAATACACGTCGACTACATAAAAAGTCTAATACCTAGATAGCTGCTTTTTGTATTTAAGACCTATTCATCTTGTTGCTTAATTGGCTAGTTTATTATCAGTTAGTCACTCTTCATCAACATAAGATGTGGGACGAATAAGTATCTGTTATCAAGAAGCACATACATAACTCAGTAGTTCAGTTGTATTTGTTAGTTAAAGCAGTTTAATTTGTTGATGTTGTAAATTGTATACATCCGATAATTTATTGATTTTAACATGTATCAAATACTATCCAGTTCAACACGTTTAAAGTCGAGTATTGACCAGAAACGAAAATCGTATATACCTCAATTTATTTTCCGCATAGTGGTTGATCAGTGGTTGGGTCAGTTTGTAGATTTGTTGTAGGTGCATAGTAAATGTTTGTCTGATGTCTTGCATGGAATCGTATCAGTCTTTGTGCAGTTATGTAATATCAAGTAACCAGTTGTATCCATGGCTGTGATAATTAGCCGTACTAGTGTTTTTGCCAAGTTATAACAGTAGTAACGGGGATGATCTGCAATTTTCATTTCAAGTGACATTTGCTTCAAGTTAACTCTCAAGTCGTTTCAGTTGTAACAGAAGGACAATTTAGAGTGTGTTTTTTCCACAGTGATTAGATCAAGTCATTGCTTGGGCGACAGTAGAAACAGTTTGATTACTGGTTGCAAAGGTTATTGATATTGCTGAACTCCAAAATTTCTTCAATTTTCGGTTGGTAATGTCCCAGAAAAAGTGACTGAAGTTCCAAAGTTGGTCTCTAAGTTTGTATGACAGATAAAAATCGTTTGTAATCGCCGAAGTACATCCACTCATCGTCTCCCCTTAGAACCTGAGTCCTGACATCTTATACCTTTTCTCTTTTTTACATACTCAATATTTTCCATTACTATTGATGATACTATTACTACTCTTACTACTCTGGGGTTTGTCTTAATAGTTTCATCTATCTGTGTTGGTGTGGTTTGAAAACTTGAGTGGATTGTATATGTATCGGGTTCTACGTTTTTATTGTCTTAATTGATTAAATCTTGTCAAATCCCTTGTGTTCATATATTTTTGACCATTTCAGTATTAATGGCACAGTATCATATACATTTATCGGTGATCGAACTGTTCATGGTCTTGTTACATTTGCGCAAAGAGCTAATGGGTATGTTTACTTTTTCAATTTTACGTCTGTTAATCTATAAATACCATAGCCTTAAATGGTTAGATTTTGTTTGTGTTTATGTGTTAGTGAAATCTTATAATGTTTCGTTTGAATTCCGTATTTCACTATATGAACAGATTGTTTATAGACCAGACGGACATGATACTGGCCACTACTCAATGAGTAATTACTCGTAAATGTCTCAATCGCGGTCCGTATAGCTTAATGGTGACGTCTTAGACTATAACGCTAAGTAACACAGGTTTGAATGCCACACAGAATATTAGTTTCCACAGGATAGTAGGTACACTTTACTGACGGATACCAACTTTCATGAATCTTAGGTCTAGGATATCCTGCTGACCACCTTTAAAGGACTGACAGTTTAACATCAAATTGTTTCTCCTGCCCTGGTCAGTATAATATAATTTGTTTAATGGTTCGCTTCACTACCCGGGCATTAGCTATATTTATTTCCTAAATATTAGTTTTTGTATTTAGCTATGGATTGATCGGACTTTGGAACATATCACCATTTCCGATATTAAGATTAAAGTAGGTTTATTAAGGTTAAACATAAATATTTTGTATCGTCACTCAGATTCTCTTTAGTTGTAAATCTAGCTTTTAAATGATGACATTTTCACACTCAAATCACTTTAGTCCTAAGGGATACTAACTTTTTCTGAAAATAGTTTAAATAGTTGGCTTCTTTTCACAAAATTTATGACTGAGTGAAATTGTTCTTAAGATCTTATAATACCCATCTTTTACCCAAACTGAGTGATGGTGATGTGATGTGAGGGGTTAAAGAGTTAACCTACAATTCGGTAATTGTGAATGTCGTGTTGCGAAGCATTGGCAATTAACCTTTAAAAGTTCAGTAAACCTGGATATTTACTGCAATCATTTAAATCAATCAACTCTTTTCATAAAATTTCAGTAGATTTAAAGACTTTATTTTTACTCTTTTATGATTTGACTAATGAAACGTCATTTATAACTAATTTTCAACCTCAAGGTTGTTAATAATTTGTAACTCATGATTTATGTGTTCAAATTAGCCTTGAAAATTTTGTTTCGTGTTGATTCTTGAGTTATTTGTTTGGGGTTCGAGAATTGTAGATTATTGTATCTTTGAAAACTAGTTAGCATGTAAATGTCACAATTGCTTGATGTATGATCAGCTTCTGGGTCCTGCAGTCTCACTCTTAGATTAACAAGAGCATCAGTATTTGGTTTCCCTTCCAAGATTTTCAAGAGAGGTTATCTCTTCATGTTGCAGTTATCTAGGAAATGTCAGTCTCAGAAAAATCACAGCAGGTGGAATTGATAACGCTTATATTGAAGTATAACCACGCTATCTAAGTTGTATTAGCCTGGATTAAGTTTAAATCTGTCGTAAAAAATCAACCTTGACGTGTGTCAATATTCTAAGTAAAAAGTTTGTGAGACGTCTACACATTTTGTTAATTTCTAGTGGGTTAATAGGTTCTTGAAAACTAACATTTGCGTACTTCAAAAATGATACAGAAGTTTGATCGTGAGCAGCGGTAGTCAAAAAAGTAAAATGGATGACAGATATACTACATTTGGTTTGTTGCTTAGACTTATAAAAGAATACTGGGATTAAAATGTAAGCAGTTAAATAACGTTCTGAAGAAATGAGCGTGGAAAACTACTTTCATACAGCGCAACTAAAACGTTGGATGGACTAATTTAATGGAGCACTTACTTAGCTTTCAAATTCTTTCCAGTTGTCTATTTTTTTCTATTAGTGACGTGAATGAGGGATCATTGTCTGGTCGCCAGCTTTTAAAAGGGCGATAACTAACGTGAAGCCGTGGATAACAATTGATCTTTGTGAGTTAAATCCACAGGTATCTAACGATACACAAGCCAGTAAGTTCGCTGTCCGAGAAATATTTGGAGTAATTAGCTAGTTATTGTCCACATCATTGTACTGATTGACTGGGGCCGTTTTTTCCTAAAATTATGGTTTAATTATATTCTACATTTTTATTTTAAAATGCTTTCTTTTCTCTCCATAGACCAGCAGTGAAGAATTTCGAAGAAAGTCATGAATTTGAAGAACGTTTAAAAAAACTATCTTCAGATGAACCATTTTTCTTCTTAATTAAACCAGCTAATTCTATTTTAGAGGTAAGAATTGGTGAATATTTATCATATATTTTGGTCGTAAGAGGTCTTATACTTTCTTAATTAAAAAGCATCGTATTAATCAAACATAATTCCACTGATTATAACAGTGTCGAAAATGACGAAACAGTATTATATAACATTTTTACTTTGCCTATCTTCGGAGTCTCAATGGGGATACACCATACTTCTTAGGAGTTGTCCTGTTTTAACCAATGGCTATGAAATGGGACCTCTAGATATAGAGGACATCCCTAGTGTAAGTATTTAGTCATAGGTGTTTTTGAAGTGTTCAGGTATCTTTAAGGTCATTACTTGGGGTTGGATATTGGGTACAGAAAAAAAACGACAAATCTGTTAACAGAGCTGCAATTCTTTATCGGTCGAGGTGGTTGGGAAATGTAATAAATATGTCCGACTCAAAATACCGGCTAATGTCGAAGTAAGGAGACTAGGGATGTGCAAACCATGATGTAGGATCTGCCCATAAAATGATTAATCGTTGAACTGCGCCATGTTGTTATGCTCAGATTACCTGGTTGAGGTCCGCGCGGTTTTCCGTAACGAATGGCTAGAGATGGTAGGTGATGGTAGTTTAAGGATTCGTCACAATGACACAGAAATGTTCAATCTTCATCATGATTACTTGTTGAGTTTCAAGGCTACTGATTGATCGACCAAGTTGCAATGTGGTCTTTTGAAGGCAATTGGGAAGGAGTTCACGAGTTCCAATTTGTTAGAGATCTGGATTCGAGTCTTTCTGTCAATTGGCTTTAGTCGTCTAACACGAGCACATAACCTGGAGGACACATCAAAAACCGAAGGTCTAGGGTTCAATTCCTGTGTGCGGGGTCGTGGCTGCGCACTTCTGAGGATTCCCATACTAGGACGATACGGACGTCCAATGCTTCCAGGTTTTCAATGATGGTCTAACATCTGTTTGTTCAGAGTTGCGATAAAACACTATCGTTTTATACTACCGTGAACTGTGTCTATCAATACACGTTCACATAGCAAAGCGTATACATCGTAATAAGTTATATAAGAGCTTCTTGATTGTGCTGTGAAAACGCATTCTCAAAAACTTGAAACCTTAACGTTGATAGTTACATACTCATTGGTTTAATAGTGAGTTCAGCGACATTGTATGAATTGAAATCTATTGCTTTTTACCAAAGATGCGATCATTATTAGGTTCAGAACTCCCTCTCTATTAAATTTGCATGATGATTTCATTCTACGATAATACTATTACTATGGTTATTATTAACATTATTATTACTATTATTGTCAGTATAGTGGTCCATTGGGATTGCTAAATGTTTTTGAGGTCACGAACCAGTCTAAGTTGGACAATTTTGGAAACTGTGACTGGTTGAGTTTAATTTTGTCGGATATGAAACAATCACTCACTTCAGGTGATAGAAGAGGGTTGCGAAGTATCACGAATCGATTGAAATTAGATATATATATACCAATGAATCCTGACCCATCAGTATTCCACTCTATTCTATATTATTATTCAAGTCACTTACTAGGCAAAAACTAACGTACCTGACTTCAAATCACACTAAAGTGTGAGGACTAGTGATACTATCCGGGTGCCTAAACTGAAGCAGATGGAGCGTGGTTCAGATGTGCGACTTCTTGACTGGAAGTCGAAAGTCTAAACCACTGAAGCATCTTTCTACAATTAATATTCACCTCACCAATCTATTTTTTGTCTCTGTCTAGTACCCTGCACCTAATATCAGCGTTACTTATTCAGTGTCCTAGTATCTCAAAAACAATTAACAATAAGTTTAATAGGAACTAATCTAATTCTTCCTCTCTTATTTTTAATTTTTGCCTATTTTTACACCTTGATATATATGATATGTGGTATTTGTCACAAGAATTTTATCTAACTTTAGATGCTTTTAAAAATCAGTGTGGACTGGAAATATATTTTGTCTTAGTGTATAGGATCCCTTATTAATACTCACTCACGACTCTACTACAGATTGAACTCATAATCTTTTTTTACACCTTGTAATAAGAGCTTTACTATTAGGTTAGGATGCAATAATATACACTTCCAACTCTAATCAACAGTATGTATGATGAGAATTCTTGTGTGATATATTTAACTGGTATTGTTTTTCTTCTTTCAATGTTAAATAATTACAATTATGAAGTGTTTCTAGATTATTGAAATCATAAACTATTTCATCTTACATTTCATAACCGATTTACACAGAATGTTATACATAGAATTAGTATATCATAGTGAAGCGGAAGTGTCAAGTATTGTTCGTGTATATTTGTATCTTTCTTTTTTCATGTCTAACCCTTCATTACTTTTGGTTCTTATTTATATCAAGAAAACATTTCTACAAGTAGCTGAACAATTACGTATATTCTCATGGTTTTTCAGCGGTTCATTATCAGTTATCACTTCTGTAAGTTAAATACAATTATTTGTTAAATGTGTTATATCTCCAAACATATATGTTTATGGTGAAATTTTCGTTTTTAACTAAATTTTAATTTGTAGGTTGTATTCATCACCGATTGATCTCAGTTATGATATAATCGAAAATCACTTATTACTAATATACTATTTCGTCCTAGTATGGGACTCTTCAAAAGTGCCCACATATGATTCCACCAACAATCGAACCGAAAACCTTTAAGTCTCGCTTCCAATACTTGACCATTAAAACAACTGTGTTGTAATTCAATAGGAAGTTATACACTCATCAGAAGTCCCATACTACAACGAAACAGGATTTCAGGGTTTCCTAATTTTTAGCCGTACATCAAATGAAATAAATCCATACTGAATACAGCCTATTAATCAAACAAATCTCTTCAGATAAATTTTAATTTGTTAAAGTGCGATGGGGGTGAGTTGAGGTTGTAACAATACCAAACATTAGTCCACGAGCTGGTCGAATATGCGTAATTAATGACTTTTAAATGAAAGTGACTATTCAGTAGATTTTAACATATGTATTGGTGTTCTCAAAAGCTCATATTTCACTTGATCAATCGTAAACATTGTAGGAACCAAATAGGGATCAGTTTAAATTACCACACTAGATCCGGATTCTAAGATAAAGCCATCAAGGTAAAAATATCAAAGTGGTGTTATTAGTGTTAGTAAACAAGATCAAACACTAGCTGTTTTCTAACCTCCGATGTCACCCAGCGCTTTATGTTGTGATAGGTCGTAACTAGGCCCACGTAATACACATCCCAAATATCTTAAATTATTCACTTACTCATTATTGGCTGATAAATATCAGCGCACAAACCACATGCTTCATCAATAGTTAGTAAAAATAGTTCATATTATTTTGGGTGAAGTTGTCAGAACTTTAGCATCGAATGACATGCAATATAAGCTTCGAACAATTGGATATACATATTGAATAAAAGTAAGTGGATGAATGACCAGCCTAACCTATATCAAATTTATTATTTGAGCTAATCTCAACATCTATAATGTTTTTGTATACTACATTATTTCATGATTAAATATCCTTGTCACTGACTTTCCAACTATTCGTTAATTTTTCTCAGGTTACCAACTTTGTTTATATATCATTATTTCAAGTAGGTTATGATAGTGATGAAGGTATTAACCTGTGTACATATTGACCATCAATAATTTGTTGTTGTGAAATTATGTGGACCGATTAGTAATAATAATGGTAATATGACTATTAAGTAATTTATCTTTATCAAGCATTGTTTACCACATTATGCATTTATTTACCTATCGGAGGCATGACTTCATGGCTAAAACATTCACCTTTCAATCCCTAAGTCTCAGGTTCTCGAACCCCTCTCTCCACCTACATCAGCTTAGGTAATTGGGTAGTTTTATTAGTGCATACATTAAGATTGTGACTAAAAGCCAAGTATACTAATTTGTGTCTGGTTAATGAGTCAATACTAATAATAGTAGTGGTAATAATAATAATATTTGCCTATAGCTCAAGTGTTCGGTTTTAATCATTACTTAAGCATTTGTTTTGTCATGCATATCATCCTTATTCTTTTGTTTATTTACTATATAATCTGGGCGTATCAGAATATTTTACTGATGATACATAGTTAGAGAGAGAGACAGAAAAAAAAGTAAATAACTCCCAAAATTATCACTTTCTACTGGGTTGTTCAATCTGACCATTGTTTTTCTTTGTATATTCCTTTTTTCAATAAAATAAAGGAAGAATGAGGTTAAAGATATATAATTGGACAAATTATTTCGTATCATAGTCATTAATATATTCCGTAAAAAGTAAAATGTAATCGGCCATTGAGTGTGAACTCAGAGAAACTCGACTTATTGACTATTAAATGTATAATGTTTATACTTTAGTTCCCTATATTTGGTCCTGAATCATGTATCTGGTATAAAGTGACTCCTGCACTCCATGTATAGCGTATCGATCAAGTATCCAGTCTACTGGTAATATAATCTTGGTCATCAATTGTACTATGGTAGTATATGGTATGGAAACTCACTCGTTGCATCAGTATTCTATTACATTGGATATTAGACGAGTTTATCATACAGTGGGGGATTTTGTGAAGATTGTTGTGTTTCATAGTTTACATCATGGATTGATCGTAGATAACCGTCGAAAATCAGGAATTATTGAACATATGTTTCGTCCTAGTGTGAGACTTTTCAGTGGTGCTCATTACAATCTGACCTGGGACTGAATCTGGGACCTTCAGGTCTCATGGTAATTGTTTAACTTTTAGACCAGAAAACCGGGATTTATTGGTTTTCATTTCTAACTTCAGTCAATTCACAATACTCCACAACCATAATAAAATATCACTAATAAGTAACTGCTTCAAACCTGAAGTTGTTAAACTTCACTAGTCATGGCTTTTCACTCGAACTCTTAGGGTTATCTGTCGAGTTTGTTTGCTCGCCAACTTATCAAAAACGTACATATACGTATATTCATAACAATATTTTTAGCCGTTCGTTGAGGATCTGAGCTTCACGATGGAAAGTTTTTAGCTTTAGCTCACAGTTTAACGGTTTTGTAAGTGAGGATCTCATAAACAATAATAAACTCAATTTTCAAAGAATAATCAGTCAGTCAGTCAGTAACAGCGTAGAACTTCGTACGTACGTACGTCAGTTCGAGTTGCCACACCACATTAGCACAGAGATGCAGTGGTCGATTCAAATCCCGTAGTGGTAGAGGTAATAAGAGTATAAGCAGTAATCGGAAAAATTAGTGTTTGAAGATGTTATTTAAAGAGTATAATACAGTGAAATAAATTTGGGAAGAGAAAAAAAGAGACAAGGAGGAATAAGGAGATCAAAATTTGGGAGAACACAAAGAGTGTATGCACCTGCGCCATTGCAAACGATTTTGAGCCATGTCATTCAGGATCTCTAACCATCAGTTGCTATCATCTCGCGGTCCCCAACCAGGTAGTCTACACCTACCAACATGACTTAGTCCACTTGTCAGTGACTTCATGGACTTGTGCCATGTTTTGGTCTGGCCACCCCTAGCTTTCTTCCAACCTACTCCTATACCACTGAACATCGCACGTCGAGGCAGTCAGTCGTTGGGCATACGTAACACGTGTCCCAGCCATCCCAACTGATGAAGTTTCACTACTTCACCAATTGATTTGCCATCCTTATCTAGTACCCGTTCCCTAACAACTGCGTTACTTACTCTATGGTCCCAGGATATACGAGCATCCCGAACATGCTTGCATTGTTGCTTAGAGTGGTCAGAAGACTCGGCATTTTGTCAGCGTCTTCACGAAATAGAACTGTGTCATCAGCATATTCCAAGTCAACAAGTGAACCTCCTGGTAGAAGTTCAACCCCTGGAAATTTAGATAAGGAAAGTGTTATCTCTGAAAGCACGTCAATGACAAAGTTAAACAAGAATGGAGAGAGTGGGCAGCCCTGACGAACACCACTTGAGGTAATCAATTTTGATGACAGTTCTCCATAAGCTCTCACTCGACCAGTTGTGTTCGAGTAGAGAGCCTTTATAAGGTTAATGTACTTCTTTGGTACTCATTTCAGTGACAAACACTGCCATAGAACCTTACGATCGACAGAGTCGAATGCTGCTTTAAGGTCGAGAAATACTACGATTGTGGGGCGTCTGAATGTGTGTCTGTGTTCTAGAACCTGACGTAGTGTGAATATTTGATCTATACAACCACGTCCAGGTTGAAAACCAGCCTGATTTTCTCTAGTCTGCTCTTCATGAGCTTTGGTTAGGCGTCGAAGTATTATTGAAGCTAATATTTTAGACACTATATTTGTCAAACTGATTCCTCTGTGATTGTCACAAGAGGACTTTTGTCCTTTCTTATAGACTGGCACAATCAATGATTGAGACCAGTCAGATGGGATTACGTCCAGTTCCCGAATTCTACCTAAGACCTCAGTTAATCTCACTGAACCACCATTCTTAAAAATCTCAGGAGTAAACCTGTCAGGGCCTGCTGCTCTCCCTCGTTTCAGATTTCCTATGGACCTACATTAACTTGCCATTCAGGTTGACTGGAGATCGTGGGAAACCGAAGTGTGGCTAAAGGCCAGTTGAACTGATCCCTGAAGTGTTCTGCCCATCGATCCAACCTCCTGGATTGAGAATGTATAATATGTCCATCTTTCTCTGAGAGTGTTTCGCTAACAGTCGGTTTCCTAATACCGGTTTCCTTAACAAGTCTGAACACTTGTCTGCTATTACCTATTGCCTCTGCCTTTTCTATCTCTCTTGCTTTCGCTACCCACCACTGTTCACGATCATTGCGTAGACTTGTCAGCTTGCGCTTAAGCTGACTCCGCTCTTCATTATGTTCAGAGCCAGGTGGAATGAGTTTCCGAGCATCTATCAGTGCGATAGATGCTGCTGAGATCCAGTGTTGCTCCCTAACCTTACGGATTACCGTACTAGCAAATATCAAAGAATAATAATGTTTCTCGAAACAGTCAGACGTATTTTCTACTTTCAATAACCTTATCTCATAACAGAATGTTGCCACACCTATGTTGACTTTTTAAATGAAAATTCAAACACATGTTATCGAATAGCAAGTTTTTACTTTTTAACACTAAACATAAAGTTGAATTTTAGTTAATTTATATATTTTTACAGTTTCGAATATTAAACAGTTGGTGATAATTGATAGAAAGTCTCGTACACACAGTTTTATGTTTGTTAGTGAATGTTACAATATTCATCAGCAAAAAAGTATCTAGAATGACGTGGAGATTCATACTCTGTTGCTTGAGTCCAGTTTGCACCTAAAATGCCCTGGTAAAACTGAGGTGGCGAGAATCTGCTCCTCTTCCCAAAATGGTCTTATACAGCCACGCATTTACCCCCACTATCATGAAAGTCCTATCCACTGTCTTCATGTGACTGAGGTTTTTTTTCAAAGGCAAGTTCTATGGAGAAGAAAATAGAAGGGAAGCAGATGGTTGTGAGAAAAGAAAGGTAGAAAAAAAAATCACAGGAGATTAAGACCATGGTAGAAAAATAGGTTGTTTCTTTTGTATACATAGTTCTGTTTTTTTTTAAATGCATGGCAAATGCTACGAAAATATCAAGAATTTGGAAGCTAACTGCCTTGGGTAGCTTTCTACTTAACTTTTATATGACTTAGAGCGCAGATCCTATTTTGATCGAATAGCCTGTGTTCACAAGGTGTTCAATTATGAAATTTCTTAATGAACCATTTTCACCTCTTTTCAGCCAATATGGTAATGTTCTTGAATTCTTTTGGATAAAATGAACATCTAACGACTTATATAACTGGCTCCATATGAAAAGGTAAATTGATAAATGCACATGGAATTAGTTCGATGAGATGATTTATCCTTTAGATTGCTACTGAACATAAGGCAGTTGGAGAAATCTAATCGTAAAGTTGCTATGAATAGCGTCCTATTTAGAAAGTCAGAAATCCTACTTTTCAAGATGTTTGTAGCTGTATCAACTTTGAAATTGACTTTCATACAAAGAGTTTTCTTTAGTATAGGGGCTGTTTTTGTTTTGGAATGTTTAAGTCTTATGTTCGTATCAATAAATACCTATGGATACCCGTTTCCGATAAGTATTTTTCTTAAGGAGGTTCAGTTCATTATCTATGATATTGTGACTACAAACTCTTCATATCTGTGTAGTGAAGACCCAGTTGCGAAAGTTTGATAACTAACCAAATGAGCTACTTCTTTATATTGCGTTACCAAGTTTTATTCATTTAACACAATTAACATTTAAATTTCCCCACTAAGATGTTTTCTTCTTAAATTTTTCTTTTCTTTTATATCTCCATAAAAAACACATGAAACTTAAATACTTGTATAGCCTTACATTGAAACGTTGAAATCATCCAATGATATATTTACAGAGATTTTAGTTTTTAAAGATTCTCAAGTTTATTCTTATCCTGGTCTATTTTCAAGTAAGTTCAGTTAATCGTTGTTGTTGTTTTTTGGTTCATTTGATTGTTCTCTCTTTGTTTATCTTCGTTTCTATACATTCATGAAATTTTAAGCACATGCCTTGTGAAATGTATATTCTATCCTTCATTATTTTGTGCCTCAACTCCAAAAGTTTATATATATTTATATATGCAATGGGACTGGATGATTATCATCATTATCTGCCCATGATCTCTTGGACCTCCAAATCAAGAGCCCCCAAATGCTCTGGTACGGCCGAGAGTGGGTAGAGCCCGCTTTACCTCTCGAAATGCTCTCATATGGCCACGCGTATATAGCCTCTGCCAGGGAAGTCCTACTCGTGGGTGTTGTTTACGAAATTGAGAGGACGAAAAGCGGATGCCCGGCGCTTTAACCGGGTTGGTGGACATGAAGAGTCCACCTAGTGGAGTTGGAAAACCCTCATTCCAAACCACTGGTACACATGGGCTCCAGTATCCTGAGGGAACAAATGGCGTATGAACCAATTATTGGTCACCAGCTACCATGGGACTGCATCTCCTCGTGATGCTCCACTGCCTTGTTGATCAGACCTTCAGGTCGAAGGCTCCGGGTGTGGTTCCCTAAGAAAATCATCTGCTTCGGTTTGGGCACCCGGGCAGTATCACATCCCACACACAAAGCGAGTGACTTGTGTGGTGCATATGTATTTGGTGCCTCCTTGTCCCAATATCTGTGTGTTAAAATAAATAAATAAGTAAATCCCAAATCAAGATAAGAATTGATAGAGAACAACGTTTACTTCAAAGAACCCGAGAAGACACGCTACTGTGGTATAAAAATTATAATTTATATAAAATTTACACAATAATCTATGGACTTCTTCTCTATTCATCTCATGATGCTGATTGGTTTAGATAATGGACTAATCAGTGTCCAAATTTGAGCTTAACTGAAATATGTAATAGTTAAGGTCGGTCCTGTTAACATTATCAAAATTACTGATTAATAGTTTAACATTCTTATGAAGATGTGTAGATCTGATATGATACAGTAATTTTTTCTACAATTCTACAAATAAAATTCTAATGAACATAAACTATATTCAAATATTTCTTAGTATGTTATATATGATGGTTTATGGTGATAGGTAGACGACACTGATATTCATCATATGATTTAAATATGGATCATTTAACAGTGTCTCAATTATGAAAGCTATTACATTGATGTATTGGAGCCGTAAATAACCTTTTGGGGTATTCAAATGTTTACACAGTAATTGCTCCCTTTTAGTAGTAATCATGTTATAACTTAATTGCTAGAATTTAGTCAGCACTAAGAATTAGACAATATAATATTGATTTTGTTACGAGTGATTGAATTATAGGACTAGTTTTTGTGTTTACTGAATTTCCTCAATGAAATGTATCTACAGTATAATAATGATTTGCCAGTAGTATTTGTCACACATTAAACTCATACGTGGCACCAATGAATATCACGGAGCACTAAATAGCTATCTCATCTGAGTATAGGACTACTAAGCAATGCTCATTTATGACACCACGAAGGATTAAAGCCAAAAGTTTCAGATCTTGCAGCGAACATCTACCATTAGAATCATTCGGTTAGCGTCCACTAGTATAATTCAAACACTAATTGAAGGTGAAATTGTACCACTCGATGTTGACCCATTGATTCTAACGGTTAGGTGTTAACAACGAAATGTAAATTTCCCGGATTTGATTCCCAATGTACTAATGGGTATGTGTACTGTTGAGGGAGGTGTTGTACTAGAGCAAAACGGTTGTCCAGTGCTCTTTGCTCTTTATTGATTATCTAACCAAGATCGAATCGTGGTGTAAATCACGTCATAATTTTTAAAATAAAGTATTCTATTATACACACCGATAAAGTGAGAGAGTTTAATCAAGAAAGCTCGCGTCAGTAAAAAAAATCAATTTTGTTCCCATCATTTTTTTTTTAATATTCTTATTATTATCATGTAGATAAAAATTTCCAATTAACAAATAATACGGCGGAATTATATCAAGATCTAATATTATGGACGTTACGTGAACGACAGCCGGGATTTCCGAAATTATCTCATTTTGATTGGTGGGAATTTGCATCGAATGAATTATTGGACATTCAGAATCATAATCCTAATACTACTAGTACTAATACTACAGATGATAATAGTAGAAGTAATAGTAACGATGATTCAGTAGTTCAACAATCATTACATTCAAATACAAGTCCAGTACAATCATATCGAAATTATCGTTTACTTGGATTATTTGTTATTGATCAATTAATAGAAAAGAGTTCTCCATCTAGGTGAATTAAACATTTAAATTGGTTTGTATTTTTCTTTGATAAATAATAAGGTAATCTCCTATATCACTCCTTTAATCATATGGACTCTGTAATAATCATCTTTTTGGTGAATTATTATTTTCTTTACGTTTTTTTTCTTCACAATTATGTTTGGTTATCGGTCGCTATCGCTTCTCATTGTTCTAAATGATTGGTAATAGACTTGATTTATGCATTTACAAGTTACTTATTGTTTGTAGAATTAACCGTAGACTAGAAATTGTTCAATAATTTTCTAGTTGGATTCATTTAGAACATTTTCATGCTGATTGTTTGTTATATATACATTAGTTACCTACATACGCCTATTATCTGTCGTGGTGGAACATAGGCTGCCCACTAGGATTCTCCATCGAACTCTGTCCTGGGAAATCCTCTTCAGTTTTTTCTAGTTGTTATTCATTTTTTTGATGTCTACTTCTAATCCCCAACGCAATGTGTTCCTTGGTCATCGTTTCTTCCAGAATTCTAAGTAAGGGCTTGTCTCGCGATTCAGTTTGATGATGTATCTATGTCCTATCCGCCTCCAACGTGTTTTTCTAACTTCCTCTTAAGCTGGAAGTTGGTTTTTTCTCTCTCCCACAACACGTTGTTGCTGACGGTATCCGATTAACAGACATCGAGTATCTTGAGTAGACAATCGTTTTTAAATACCTGTATATTTTTTGATTATGTTTATAGTTCTCTAAGTTTCAGCTGTGTACAGTAGGACTGTTTTGACGTATGTGTACATTCGTACAGTTAGATTACTATATTCATTTAGATGTGAATAATATTATTAGTGATTGTCGTTTTTTAATCTATTTTACCATTATTATTACTGTTAACTATTTATCGAGACTTCAACCACACAATTGATTGACACGTCAAATCCGGCAAGGTAAAACAAAATTATCTGTAAGGACAGTTCTATAATTACGAAATTATATGAAATACGATAAAAACTTCAACTTATGAGAATGTCAACAACAGAGAAGAATGTTTCTTAAAATGGATACGTAGAGTTATTTATAACAATTTACGATATGATATATGACAGCTAATAGCCGTGTCGAAATGACGTCAACAATGTTAGAATGAGAACGATGAACAATTAAGTATGTAAATTTTTACAATAAAACCAAAGTTTAACAGATACACTAAAATTGAGATCATCTGTCGCAAGCATTAAAAAACGCGATCAAAATCATAAATGAATGGAATATTCATTACACTAGTTGCTCAAAAGTTTTCAGAAAGGAAACGGGTTACTAAATATTAATAAGTAGTATGGATTGATTCACAAAAGAAAGTGGATTTCAAAGAAAAGGGATAAATATAAAAAAACTTGAAAGTTATGATTATTATTACCACCACCACCATTATTATTATTATTATTATTATTGGTAATGGTAGTATATATATATTCTTGTGCATTTGTTAATTCCTTGAGTTATGATGTTTTTATGTTGCTCTTACGACAAGCCTCCGCTTCCTTTGTTAACTTTTGTTATATATTTTGCGGTTCTTGTAATTGACAGTTAATTAATTTTATACTTGTTATTCAGTTTTAGACCATAAACAACCTAGTCATGCACAGATTGTATGTTATTTCTTATTTGTGACAAGCTGTGATTACACACTTGGTGTATATGTATATGATCATGTGCGTCATTGAATTTTCTGATCAGATACTATAAATAAATTATATTGTGTTCAACCACCAATAGGCATTGAGATCCCGATCACTGTTTACGGTTAGTTGTGTTAGTAATCAAGAGAAGATTATCGGGTAGATTGGGCTATGGTGAACTGTTATGGCTTGTGATGCTAATCGATATTGTTATATTATCTAACCAGTATTCCAATTGTTGATTAATTCACCTACATTAAAGGTGAGATGGGTGACTTTTTAGTTATCGATTGAGAAACCAACCGATAAACAACACCAAAGACCATAGGACTTAATCAGAGAGGGGTTTTGTGGAGATTGTAGTAATTTAATAATTGAATACATGAGTCAATTGAATCTAGATCACTGTGAAAACCTGGAAGCACTAGATAGCCGTTTCGTACTAGTATGGGACTACTCAACAGTGCGCATCGACGATCCTGCCCCGCGAGATTCGAACCCAGGACCTACCAGTCTCGCTTAACACAATGGTGGACGGTGGCGCAATTTCGTGGATTGGTTGAAGTTAGACATTAACACCGTTGAATGCCGGCTCAGCGGTTTCGTGGTGAAGCGCTCGCGCACGAGACTGATAGGTCCTGGGTTCGAATCCCGCGAGGCGGGATCATTGATGCGCACTGCTGGGGAATCCCATGCTAGAATGAAACGGCCTTCTAGTGCTTCCAGGTTTTCCATGGTCGTCTAGCATCAGTAGACTCATGAATTCAATTATCACATTACAATAGGATTTATTAATCTTTGAGTTCCTTTTAACTCAGTGGCTATTCAGAAGACAAAAATAGGAGACCGATTATTTGTCTGATGTACTCAATTCAATCATATCTCAAAACTCATACAATATAGAGAGTAAAATCTTGACCACACATTAATATAGTTAAGAAATTACAATAACAGGATAATTACAACATAAGTGAAATAGAACTGAGTGATAGATTCGTAATTAATTAACAGTAATTTGAGAAAGGTATGACATACAATAACAGTTTGTGCATCAGGAAAAAGCTTACAATCATGAGAATATAAAAATACAATTATTTTGATTATGTAATAATTAAAGAACAAATATATGCTAAATTAATTCCAGGTAGGGTAGTTCCAAAAGTTCAAATTCTACAATACCTGTCCGATTATAACGTAAATTATTGATGAGCGAATTCTGTAATTAAGTGACCTGATCAAATGGGCAATATATCTCTACCCACTCAGCATCAAGTCTATACGTTATTAATAGGTAATGCATACTAACACGTTGTCCAAATGTATTATCAACAAATGTAATGTAACTTTGTTACTGATTCTATTAAACTAATATTTCTGTTATTATAATCTCAGGGTATTGGAATTCGGGAGGAAATTAGCTCTTAAACGTCTACCGCATATAATACGGTAAGTGTATTATACCTAATTATGATAATTGTTTAATTGTGTGAGTTGCGATGAATTAGAATAATGCGAAAAAAAGTCTTCATCACAAATTAATTTATAGTGAGAATGATCGAAAGTTAAGGAGAAATAGAATGGCTACCTTCTCAGTCTGAAACTAACCTATAGACTCCAGCATCCTTGAGTTTAGCGTCGAGCACATTATCTTTAGTACACTGAGTTAGAATTTATTGGTCCATATTTTTGACCATATTCCTCTTTGCAACAGTGCTTGCGTTTCATGGAACAATCGAGTAAGCAGTTTTAAGGTTGCGCATGAAGTACTAGGTTAAGTTGACAAATCAGTTTATGAGGTTGTAAATCTTCATCGAATGAGGTGGTTGAGTCATGTATTACGTATATTCAGCCATCACCTACCTCAACAAGTGGTGATGGCTGGTGTAATAGTAAGTTAGATGGAAGTTAGAAGCTGACAAACTAAGGCGCACTATCAGTCCATGAATCATTGATTGTTTAACTGAGCTGTGTAGTAGATGCTGACTATCTAGTTGGGGTACGCGTGATTTTGGTAATCAGTGGTTAGTGTCTATAGGCGACATGGTTCAGAATCATTCGCGATAGCGTAGATCCATTCACTCTTTGTCTTCCCTTGGATCCTAAGTTTCTTAACTATCTCATAACGTGTTTTTATTCCACTAATTCATATTTTCTTCTAGAATAATTATCTTTTATTCACAACCTTTAATACTTGTACTATGGAGCGTCGTGTTGATGTGATGTTACAACTTAAACCGATGCACATGTGTCAGGTTTTACGTTGTATATGGATGGTAGACCGAGAAGTGTTGTGTAGAGCATTTGTATAGCGTTATAGGTCGATGCTTTCTCTAACGTTGTGAGCGTTGTTCCGCTTTACAATAATTATTATATAGCGATAGGTTGTAAATGTTTAATAAAAGCGAGTAGTGAATGAATAAATCTTACGATTTAACCAACGTCCAGTTAATCGTTAGTATATGGGATTTGTGGAAATTATAAAATCTTCATAGTTTAAATCACTGACTGATCTTAGCTAGACCACCATTGAGAATCTGAAAGCTCTGGACGGTCATTTCTTTATAGTATAGGACTTCTTAACATTACACATCTAGGAATCGAACGTAGAACCTTCGGCTTCACGCGCGAACACAATCTGTATACGTCTAACTCCAGTCAATTTACAATATTACGCAATACTAATTCATTGCCTGCAGTGGATAACTGTCTCACACTTAACATGGTTCCATAATAAAACGAGGATCTTGTGCAATGCTTCCAGGTCTTTAATGATGATCTACGTGATATCAGTTCGTGATTTAGAGTTATTCACTTAAAATAAACCTTAAACAGAGAATTTTTTTCGAGATATTTACCTAAACGGTTATCCGAGAAGCTTAGATAGACTGCCTTTATGAAATAAATGAATCGTGACTACTAATGGAATTTAGGATATGCGTTTCATTTGACACTCATCAGGTAGATGTAATTGTCTGTCTTTCAGTGTTGATATTCACACTGAAACTTCATAAAATCCTTACAGTATGAACATATATCATGGAATATTAATCAAATTAGAAAAAATCATGGCGAGACTGTAATTTATGGACGAACCAATCAAGTATAAGATAAAAGGTTTCGGATTTTGGCGCGAAATTCACTCATCCATTTGACTAAATGGAATCTTGTCATTATAGCTAATATCAGTTCGTGATGAAAACCATAAATCTATTTCCTAACCTTAACCATCAACCATAAATCATAATTCGAATCCCTCACAATATTTCATAGCCCTCATTTGGTCCTAGTTATTTGGTGGACACTCTCAGGGTCAGTCTAGCGTCGCTCAGCGATCATCCATAGATTATAGTCTCGTCTAAATCATCTATTTTTGTTCATTCACTTGTTTTTTTGTTTTAAATTCTTTTCTTCTTTCTTTCTCTTTTTTTTAATTTAGCTATTTTCAATTAGCATGGACTAATGATGTAGAAAGTTTAGAGAATTTAGCTATGAGAACAATAACTGTACCAAATTTCATTGTTTTAAATCCTGTTACACATGAATTATTTGTATATTTATCAAATCACTATTCATCATATTCTTTATTATTTGATGAAAATAATTTAATTAATTTCTTAATGCTTATTAATGACGGAAAGATTAAAGTAAGAAAATCATTGGGTTTGTTTATTTATTTGTTTCTTGAATGATTTTAAAATAATTATATTCAGAAGAGGTTTTGTAGAGATTTTAGAAATTTCAATAGTTGAAATCATGAGCCGATTGAAGCTAGACCATCATGGAAAACCTGGAAGCACTGGACGGTTGTTTCGTCCTAGTATGGGACTACTTAGCAGTGCGCATGACAATAATCATCTGCTTACTAGTTACTGATTTCAAGAGGCATTTCCCGGAGTTTTAGTGAGAAACCGTTACCAGTGGAGTTTAACCAGGTCGGTTGTGAGATATCAGCTCACTGAAGACAATGGTGTACGGTGGTGCAATTTCGTGGATTGGTTGAAGTTAGACATTAACACCGTTGGATGCCGGCTCAATGGTCTAATGGTTAAGCGCTCGCGCACGAGACTGATCGGTCCTGGATTTGAACCTCATGAGGCGGGATCATGAATGCTGACTGCTGAGGAGCCCCATACTAGGACGAAACGGCCATCCAGTGCTTCCATGTTTCCCATGGTGGTCTAGCTTCAATTGACTCATGATTCCAACTACTGAGATGATTATATGTTCGAAAGTTTATTGGTTTGTTTCATAAACTCTGAAAAAATGTTATGGAAGTTATTTGAATTTGCAAGTAGTATGTATTCTGTTTATTTATTTGAACACATAAATATTAGTACAAAAAGGCAACGAAAACATATGCCCCACATTAGTCACTTGATTTGTATGTGGGCTGTGATACTGCCCGGGTGCCCAAACCGAAACAGGTGGTTTCCTTAGGAGGCCATGCCCGGAGCCTTCGACCTCAAGGTCTGATCCATAAGGCAGTGGAGCAATGTCAGGAGATTCAGTCCCATGGTAGCCGGTGACCAACGATTGGTTCATACACCATTTGTTCCCTCAGAATATTGGAGCCCACGTTCACCATTGGTTTGGAATGAGGGTTTTCTAACTCCCCTAGGTGGATCCTCCGTATCCGCCAACCCGGTTGAAGCGTTGGACATTCGCTTTTCGTCCTCTCAATTCCGTAAACAACGGTAATGTCGCGAGAAGGCAGTGAGTAGGTTTTTCCCTGCAGTGGTTGTATACACGTGGCCATGTGAGAGCATTTCGAGAGGTAGAGCGAACTCTCCCCACCCTCGGTCATAACAGATTGATTCGATAAATTCTGGTAATGCTGGAATTGTAGCATTGAATGCTGATTTAGTGGTTTTAATAGTTAAGTGTTTGTTGTATGATCCGAAAGTCTTGTGTTGCAATGTGTGGTAGGGTCTTGAGAGTGTAGTTTCGAAGAGTCCTATACTAGGACGAAACAGCTGTTCAATTCTCTTTTGTTTTTAATGGTTTTTTAAATAAGATCAATATATGACTGATAATACTAACTACATATTCATTTATAACCCTATTAAATGTATCATATTATCATGGTTGGATATTTTTAATATATAAATAGCAGTTGTAAAAATACCCCACGGTATTGTTATGCTCAATCAATCGTTGACAATTGATTTTATCTTATGATAATTAGTTGAGTTAAGTTTAATGGTTTGATAATCAATTTTGTACATAAACCATCCATTCATAAAGAGTGAATCGATCTTTACCACTGCAACCGATACTAACTCATATCATTCAATTACTTCAAACACTGATCACGATCATCACCCCGAATCCCAGCTAAGTAGTTTGCAGTTGCATAATGACTCAGACCAATAGTCACTGACATCCTGGATTGGTTAACCTTTTAGTATTTATGCGTTAATGCATCAGACTAGAATATCTTGATTGTGTATCCATCCTACTTCTATGTTTATTCTATTATCCTGTAATTTAATACAACCGATTTGACCAAATATAGGTTTGGAGCTACAATCTTGTTATTCAGGACAGTTGATGCTATTATCCATCTATCTAAATCAGTGTTGATAAAGGATTATTCATAATTACAAATCTTTTTTTCTTCAAAGTTTGGGTATTTTAAAGATCATTTATGTGTGAACCACCAATAAAAAAATCTAATTGATAATTCTGATTATAAGATTAGGTAGTAAATCTAAGATCTTAACAGACTGAATTTGTAGCAAATGCTCACCTATTCAATACTCTATTAAGTACGTTTATTTGATAAGTATCATTTCTTGAATTAAATGATATTTATATAAGATTATTTGATTATGATATGATTTGTAGCTGACATGTGTTGCATAACATGTACATAGGGGTTTAAATTGATCTATTATTGATATTAAGAATTACATTTCATTAATCTCTATTTCTATATTATCAGAAAGAGTTTTATGGAGATTTTAGTAATTTCAATAGTTGAAATCATGAGTCAATTGAAGCTAGACCACCATGGATGTGCACTGCTGAGGAGTCCTATACTAGGACGAAACGGCTGTCCAGTGCTTCCAGGTTTTCCATGATGATCTAGTTTCAATTGAATCATGATTTCTATTACTATATGTCAATATTGATTGGATTGTCTTCAAATTCATGTTTTATTGAAGTTTGTTTGTAGTTAGTATGGTAATCCAGGATGGTAGTTTCATACTACTTTGAACTCTTTATCTAAATGTATTTATATCGTAACTTTAATGTTTATTTTGAATTTATGAACTGATTGTATGGTTTTCTAATTGTCTAGTACTCAATTGAATGAAATATACATTCTAGATTACACTATTCGTCATAATTCAACTTTACTAAAGCTTTAATTAATATCTTATGGTAAATGTGATAGTAGTAACCAGTTTTTATGTTATATGCTTATTAAAATAAACAAAACACTATTTCTATTTCTTTTGTAAAACATATGAACTAGGGTATTGGAGGTAATACAATTTCAATAAGACTACAACGTTTAGGATATAATTTTCTTATCGGTTTCTTGGTAAGTTTATTTAAATAGAGTTTAACTATTAATGAAATTCTTCATGTTGTAATTCATTATAAAACCACTTTTTTCTACAAAATATCTATGTTCCTCTGTTTTAGACAGCATTCTTAATACTTAGTTGATTAATCTATGATTTTCAATTCTTCTGAATGTCTAGATGATGTATGTATTTTCTTCAATAGATTACACGCTAACAAAAAGTAGTATCCTTTTAAATAACCCTTTCAATAAATATACTTGAATATTTAGTCTAGATAAGACTATAATCTATGGATGATCGTTGAGCGATGCTAGACTGACCCTGAGAGTGTCCACCAAATAACTAGGACCAAATGAGGGCTATGAAATATTATGAGGGATTCGAATTATGATTTATGATTGATGGTTAAGGTTAGGAATTAGATATATGGTTTTCATCACGAACTGATATCAGCTATAATGACAAAATTCCATTTAGTCAAATGGATGAGTGAATTTCGCGCCAAAATCCGAAACCTGTTATCTTGTACTTGATTGATTGATTCGTCCATAAATTGTAGTTTCGCTTTAGTCTACATCCAACCATCTTGGCTGGTTAATTTATCACGTGATATGACCGCCAATTCCAATACGGCTTATACAATTTACATATAATATACAATACATATATATAATCTAGTTACTTAACAGTTATATAATCAAGTTACATAATAGTCTATAAATAATTCTCGGAAGTTACCCATAATCTAATCTTCGTTGGAATATAACATTAACATGATTTGATGTAATTGATTGTTGTTTCCATCAAATGTTAATAATATTTAGTGGCTCGTGGATCTGATCTGATTCCAAGATCGTATAGATGTTTGCTATCGCTGATTCTCGTATATCATCGTCGACTTAAATCGCGTTATCCAATAACGGAATTAAATATGTCGAATAACGAGAATTGACTTGAGAATACACATATTTCGTACATGAAACGAATGAAACACAGCAAAGCAAAATGACACGCAGGGAAGATGGCTGGGAAGCCAACTCCATCTTTGTCAAGCGTTACTCAATATTTATAGTCAGACAAAATAAAGCTACAGACATGTGATTAATGGAATAAGAAGGGCACACACATATACGCTCATATAAAAACAGTCTAGATTGATAAGCGAATAAATAACAAGGTCAATGTATGGCTCAAGTAAAATGAATAGAATGGGATGTCCGAAAGCTCGAATAAGGTATATGGGCTTGGCATAATAACTGACACTACAAATACTTTGAATACATTATGTTCAGATAACTGTAAAAATAGTGAACTGTTTAGATAAAATGCTTGTTTCATGATTCAAAGATAAATCATTGATATCCACTTTAAACAATCTTTTAAAGATTTAACAGAGAGAAGCTCACAATGAACATTTCCTTAACAAGTTTTCCATCATTAGATATGGATTTTAAACTGCAGTAGAGTACCTTTTAACTTGACTTTTCCTACTCGATTCTTTTCTATGAGGGTAGAATCAGCAACATTATTAAGGAGAGAAGTATAAAATTACTTTGAACCCAATGAATTAATCGGATTGGTGAGAAACGTAGATAAACGGGATATGCAGTCAGTCTACATAGAGTGTACACTAGTAGTTGACAATATTTGTTTAAGCTAAGAAATGTGCAACAAGCTTCCATGTCGACCACTACGTCCTTCTTCCTTAGAGCTAGTTGTTATTCGGTAAGCAGTGTATTTACGGCAAGATTTGAAACATTTGAAGCGCCTATTAATTATTTAAAAAGTGATTTCAATTTTTCTTCACGCTTTATGATCCAAAATCGATTGCGAAGAAACTAGGAATATTGTTACTGATAAGCTGAATACTCGTCTTTTGTTAATCGTTATATTTATTGGATACTTATTTGTACGCAAATAATGGATAGATTCGTCCTAAAGCGAGTCTTTACAGTAAATAGTAACCAGAAACAGAAGTTGATGAAAACTTTCTTAAAAAATGAAATAGGATCCCGGAAATGACTCTCATTACCTTCGTAGTATTTATGATATGTTGTGCTTGCCCATCTGAGTTTAGAAGTCAAAACCACCTTACAGTTAACAGTCTGCTTTACTGATCTTATCAAGCTGATGGCATCTCCATCCATCTCGTCTTTACCCTTTGGGCAACTTATCCAGTAACTTTTTAACAATGTCATCTGTATGATCGAACTGTATTACTAATATTTCCATAGCTTTCTGAAAGTCTAATTCATCAAGTTAAACCACTCAATTTCTAATAGCTTCTCTAGTCTTTCCTGGACGATGTGATGTTAAACAAGGTATCTGTTACAAGGAGAGCGGCGGAAACTATCATTAAGTTTCTTACAAATCACCACAAATTTGTTGATGAACTATTAAGCTTAATTATAAGCAAATATGGAATAGTGGCTGGCAGTGGTTATACGCACAGTATGTACATATGCCAATAACAGACTGATCAATTTCAGTCCTAAACATCAATGGGAAGATTCAAGTAAAACGATACCAATTGTATTAAACTTAATGTCTAGATCAAGTAGTTTTCTGTAGGATTGAGTAGGTCTTTCGAATTGCTCGATCTAGGGTCGGCCCCGTATGATGGAGTAGTCTAGTACGAAAACAAAACATCTGTCCAATGTCTCCTGGTTTTCAATAGCTATGTAACTAAAATCACTTCCTGATATAAATTATGAAGTTTGACCATCTCCTCAGATTCTTATAGAATTAGGTGTTCTATGTATCTATGTACTAAAGATACAATTCACCGTAACTTTCAAATAATGTATAATAGATACTTTCATCTATCGTCACTGTTCTTTTCATTTTCTATCAAATAAACAAGAAATTCCTCACTACTCGACCATTGTTAGCACTTTTAATTCTTGGAGTACCAGCATTAATGTTCAGTGGAATTATCTACTTATGTTGTTGTTTGGACGCAAGGTATGCAACTTATGATGACGGTGAAGATGACCAACTTTCTAATTACAGCATTTACCATAAAGCATATTCAAATCAAAAGATTATTGGCATTGATAATTCCACTGGTGATAGATCAATTATCGACTCGAATTCAAGCTATTTGGATACTACTAGTAGTAGCAGCAGTGGTATTAGTGTCAACGCAACGAAGGCTGTTCATTTTCGAGATATGCATAATTCTCCTCCACGTCGACGATATCGTCATGAAGTTTTGCATAACAGCAATAAAAATATTCAAAATATTGGTAAGTTATGGCCATATCATTAATTTACTTAACGACTGACTTGTTATTCTTCTGCAGTTATGATACTGTTTTCAAATGTTTCAATGTTTGATTACTGAGTGAAAAAAAGCACTGACTTGATAATTCTTGGACCGCCAACTTACGGCTACGTGGAGTAGTGGCTTGCTGATTAAGATGTTTGACTTTCACTTACTAATTCGCAGGTTTTGACCATGATCCTTTTACTCTAGCTAACCCGTCATCAAGATAGAACCAATCACAGATATGGGCTTGTTCAAGTTGCCATATCGTATTAACACGACGAGATGAAATGAACAAACAGATAGAGATAATGTGATAGCAATGAAAATGCGAAAGAGTGAACATTGGGAATATGGCTTGAAAAGACAGAGTGGAAAGGGTATGTATGGCGGAATACTGGAAATCAAGATTGAGCGCTATTATGAATCATTCTGAGTCATGTCACTTCAGTCGATGGGACCGAGTAGATGTGCTGTAATGTTCAGTGTACTTTGACTAAAATTGTAGTTCTAATATGAATCTGTAACTTGTGGGTTTCAATAATATCGGGCATAAGACACCAATTTAACAATGTTATGTGTTAATAGTAGTTAAGCATGTTAACTAAATCGTCTTTAGATAATTTTCTTAACTACTAATAGTTCTGGTTCTAATCGTTGTTGAGATTGTGATTTTGTACGGTTGAGGAATCTGTAGCTAGGATGATTTAGCTGTCCAGTGCTTTCAAACTCTCAGCATTACTTTAGTTATGGTGGCCCATTGACTAATGCATCTGATTTACAACTTCTGAGCTTTGAATTAGAACTCCGTCCCACCAACTTCAATTTGGATAACTAAGTGTGACTCGAAACAAAAGACATCAATTTGTACCGGGTGAGTTGAATAACTAGTTAAGTTTCAATTTGTTACGTGAAAAAATACACTGACCTATTTTAGAAAGTTCTCTATGATTATAATTAGTCATTTATTACTTTCTTCATATCTCATATTTCACATCTTCTTGTTAAACTATCAAATTACCGAATTCACTGATAATTGACAGTTGTACGGGTCCCACTAAATAAAATCACTAAAGGAATAGCTATATATCATTCTGTTTGAAAACTGTATATTTTGTCAGTTAGGAGTTGTAGAAATCGTTGAGTTGAAATCACGAACCGATTCAAGTTAAACCACCATCGAAAGTTCGGAAGTATTAGACGGCCATTTCACCCTAGTATGGGACTCCTCAGAAGTACGCATCCACGAGCGTGCACATGGGAACTGAACTCAGGATCTTCGATCTCCTGAGTGAACACTTAAGCTCTAAACCACTGAGTCGGCATTCAACAGTGTTAATGCTTAACTACAATCAATGCACGACCTTGTGCGACCATCTTCCATTGCATTCTATGGGTAACTACCTCACATTCAACACGGTTGAGCTCCACTGGTCATGGATTCTCACTATAACTCCATAAATTTTCTCTCGAATCTGGTCACTGGTGAGCATATGATATTTGTTAGTAGGGGTTGTGCAGATTGTTAGATCTTATTTAAATCATGAATCGATGAATATTTTCTCAATAAGGTAATTTTTATTTATGAATTATACTTTGTATATAATGCAGGTCCTGTTTATTCAGAGGATGAATTAAAGAAAAGAATTGAAGATTCGCGTGCGAAATTAGCGAAATTAAAGAAACAAGCATAAATGTATTTCTTATTTCCATTCATTCATCAGCACAGAATTATCACAATAACCTACGTGCATAATAGATTATTTTCTCCAATCATGTATGTATCACACATATCAATTTGTGTAGCACTGATAAGCATGTGTTTGATGTGCACTAACTGGTTTTGTTTTTTACAATATCATGATATTACATAACCTCATTATCATTCTTCTGGATGTTTTATTCCAGTGAAAGAAACGACAACTCATATTTATTTCTTGTATCTTTGAACTTTATTACTCAATGTATGCATTTATTCATCATATATATTCTTATTATTGAGTTATATAATTAAATATATTGTTAGATTACTCAAGCATAATCTTGTCTTCATAACTGTTATTTCATGCATATTCAATACACACGGGATAATTAATTTGTCATTTCATTTGAGCAATAGTGATGTAAACTTTAATGACAGGTTGTAAACGATAAACCTTCATCATGAAAATAATTCACAGTAAAATTGAAGAAACAACTACCAAATTACGTGAACTTAAGCATATACACACAACTACAAAAGGAAACCAGTTTCCATTGTAAAGTTCGAATAATAAAAGTCAAAAACAAATAATTCACAGAAAAAAAGAGCGCGACCAAAGTGGTTACCCTAGTGTAGAGGTCATCACGTCTGTCTAACACACAGAAGGTCCCCAGTTCGAGCCTGGGCGGAAACATGCTTTTCAAACTACAAACAACTCTCAGAAAAATACCGACATTGTGACAACATCCATCAACCACACCATACGTACTCTCGCTTTGTCAATGTTGTACATCGACACAGCTACTCCGTGACCAACGCATGACAATCAGAAAACCCACCGTCGTCATCCAACAACCCATCTTCAGAGTACACACTAACGCATTGTCACACACACACGGGAACGTGCAGGTTCGCCTGCGCGAAAACGCACCCACACCTGGGTATATTTATTGAGTGAGGACCGGACAGTCACACATACACACCCACGCATACGCCAAGTATAAACACACGCATTTACGCAAATACACATGCATTCGTTGAACACTCGACATTATCTCATGTCGGATGTCTGTCAATATCTGCAGCTTGTCAACAATTCTCACGATGATTTTGTGACTGAGATGTGAATCATTGTTTGTTGGTCGGTTCCAGTGTTCATTCGTATTGCGAGTGTCGACCATCCAGATATGGTGACGTGTACATGAGGATGCTTCTCGAGATCCCGACTGATCGATACCAACACTAATTCACAACGGATCAAGTGACACTGTTTACACTTCAATAATTTTTAGGACAGTGCTGTCTCAATGCGAGTACTCAGTGACCATCATATTGTTCAGTCGACTAGGATTCGAAGAGGACTTTGACGAGCGTGGTGTGACTACAACTCGTCGTCCATTGTCACCAACAAATGCATTGTTTCTACTAGGATTTATCCTACGAGCGATGTAGTCGAAAGTGCCTCACTGGCAGATATCATTTCAGACTGGATAGTATTGAGCACATGGTATGTGGTAGAGAATCGCAACAACAATGTGCTGGACATAGATTGCGCTGAGACACTGGTCTCTCTGTATTGTTCTCTCAGGATGGTGTGCAGTATGGTCGATACACTTGGTGATATGACGGTCGATTTCAGGTGATGCCGTATGTCAATGTGTTGAATGTTCTGAGTGGAGTGTTTCAGGTGTGCTCATGGTCGAGTCGGTTGTGTGTAAGCGGCACAATGGGGCTTGTGGTGGAGTGGACCATCGTTGCTCATTACAATTGTCTGAGAGTATGACGAGCGTGACTGCAAGAAGCCGGTGTTGTGTGAAGCGAACCTGTGTTGGTGCACTTTGTGTTGAGTGCTCGTGACTGGTCGGTGACTCTACTGGATTGTGGTGACAGATGCTGTGTGTCTTGACCTGGTGTTGGTGAACATGTCGGTTGACAGGTTGATTGGCCAATGCGTGTTTGTGTGAGTTGTAGTCTTGCAGTGGGAGTGAACAGTCAAATGATTGTTTAGTTGTCTTGCTGGCAGCTGTGTTTGTTGATGGATTGTGTTTGTGTGTGAGTGTACGCGAGCGTGTAGACTTAGTGGATATGCATGTGAGTATGTGTTCGACTAGTCGAGGAGACGTAGTTGTAGTTGTTGTGTGGAGTTGTGCGAGTTGATGCGAGAGGGCGTGCGAATCGTCGTTTCCGTGGTGTAGTGGTCATCACGTCTGTCTAACACACAGAAGGTCCCCAGTTCGAGCCTGGGCGGAAACATGCTTTTCAAACTACAAACAACTCTCAGAAAAATACCGACATTGTGACAACATCCATCAACCACACCATACGTACTCTCGCTTTGTCAATGTTGTACATCGACACAGCTACTCCGTGACCAACGCATGACAATCAGAAAACCCACCGTCGTCATCCAACAACCCATCTTCAGAGTACACACTAACGCATTGTCACACACACACACACACACACACACACACACGGGAACGTGCAGGTTCGCCTGCGCGAAAACGCACCCACACCTGGGTATATTTATTGAGTGAGGACCGGACAGTCACACATACACACCCACGCATACGCCAAGTATAAACACACGCATTTACGCAAATACACATGCATTCGTTGAACACTCGACATTATCTCATGTCGGATGTCTGTCAATATCTGCAGCTTGTCAACAATTCTCACGATGATTTTGTGACTGAGATGTGAATCATTGTTTGTTGGTCGGTTCCAGTGTTCATTCGTATTGCGAGTGTCGACCATCCAGATATGGTGACGTGTACATGAGGATGCTTCTCGAGATCCCGACTGATCGATACCAACACTAATTCACAACGGATCAAGTGACACTGTTTACACTTCAATAATTTTTAGGACAGTGCTGTCTCAATGCGAGTACTCAGTGACCATCATATTGTTCAGTCGACTAGGATTCGAAGAGGACTTTGACGAGCGTGGTGTGACTACAACTCGTCGTCCATTGTCACCAACAAATGCATTGTTTCTACTAGGATTTATCCTACGAGCGATGTAGTCGAAAGTGCCTCACTGGCAGATATCATTTCAGACTGGATAGTATTAAGCACATGGTATGTGGTAGAGAATCGCAACAACAATGTGCTGGACATAGATTGCGCTGAGACACTGGTCTCTCTGTATTGTTCTCTCAGGATGGTGTGCAGTATGGTCGATACACTTGGTGATATGACGGTCGATTTCAGGTGATGCCGTATGTCAATGTGTTGAATGTTCTGAGTGGAGTGTTTCAGGTGTGCTCATGGTCGAGTCGGTTGTGTGTAAGCGGCACAATGGGGCTTGTGGTGGAGTGGACCATCGTTGCTCATTACAATTGTCTGAGAGTATGACGAGCGTGACTGCAAGAAGCCGGTGTTGTGTGAAGCGAACCTGTGTTGGTGCACTTTGTGTTGAGTGCTCGTGACTGGTCGGTGACTCTACTGGATTGTGGTGACAGATGCTGTGTGTCTTGACCTGGTGTTGGTGAACATGTCGGTTGACAGGTTGATTGGCCAATGCGTGTTTGTGTGAGTTGTAGTCTTGCAGTGGGAGTGAACAGTCAAATGATTGTTTAGTTGTCTTGCTGGCAGCTGTGTTTGTTGATGGATTGTGTTTGTGTGTGAGTGTACGCGAGCGTGTAGACTTAGTGGATATGCATGTGAGTATGTGTTCGACTAGTCGAGGAGACGTAGTTGTAGTTGTTGTGTGGAGTTGTGCGAGTTGATGCGAGAGGGCGTGCGAATCGTCGTTTCCGTGGTGTAGTGGTCATCACGTCTGTCTAACACACAGAAGGTCCCCAGTTCGAGCCTGGGCGGAAACATGCTTTTCAAACTACAAACAACTCTCAGAAAAATACCGACATTGTGACAACATCCATCAACCACACCATACGTACTCTCGCTTTGTCAATGTTGTACATCGACACAGCTACTCCGTGACCAACGCATGACAATCAGAAAACCCACCGTCGTCATCCAACAACCCATCTTCAGAGTACACACTAACGCATTGTCACACACACACACACACACACACACACACACACGGGAACGTGCAGGTTCGCCTGCGCGAAAACGCACCCACACCTGGGTATATTTATTGAGTGAGGACCGGACAGTCACACATACACACCCACGCATACGCCAAGTATAAACACACGCATTTACGCAAATACACATGCATTCGTTGAACACTCGACATTATCTCATGTCGGATGTCTGTCAATATCTGCAGCTTGTCAACAATTCTCACGATGATTTTGTGACTGAGATGTGAATCATTGTTTGTTGGTCGGTTCCAGTGTTCATTCGTATTGCGAGTGTCGACCATCCAGATATGGTGACGTGTACATGAGGATGCTTCTCGAGATCCCGACTGATCGATACCAACACTAATTCACAACGGATCAAGTGACACTGTTTACACTTCAATAATTTTTAGGACAGTGCTGTCTCAATGCGAGTACTCAGTGACCATCATATTGTTCAGTCGACTAGGATTCGAAGAGGACTTTGACGAGCATGGTGTGACTACAACTCGTCGTCCATTGTCACCAACAAATGCATTGTTTCTACTAGGATTTATCCTACGAGCGATGTAGTCGAAAGTGCCTCACTGGCAGATATCATTTCAGACTGGATAGTATTGAGCACATGGTATGTGGTAGAGAATCGCAACAACAATGTGCTGGACATAGATTGCGCTGAGACACTGGTCTCTCTGTATTGTTCTCTCAGGATGGTGTGCAGTATGGTCGATACACTTGGTGATATGACGGTCGATTTCAGGTGATGCCGTATGTCAATGTGTTGAATGTTCTGAGTGGAGTGTTTCAGGTGTGCTCATAGTCGAGTCGGTTGTGTGTAAGCGGCACAATGGGGCTTGTGGTGGAGTGGACCATCGTTGCTCATTACAATTGTCTGAGAGTATGACGAGCGTGACTGCAAGAAGCCGGTGTTGTGTGAAGCGAACCTGTGTTGGTGCACTTTGTGTTGAGTGCTCGTGACTGGTCGGTGACTCTACTGGATTGTGGTGACAGATGCTGTGTGTCTTGACCTGGTGTTGGTGAACATGTCGGTTGACAGGTTGATTGGCCAATGCGTGTTTGTGTGAGTTGTAGTCTTGCAGTGGGAGTGAACAGTCAAATGATTGTTTAGTTGTCTTGCTGGCAGCTGTGTTTGTTGATGGATTGTGTTTGTGTGTGAGTGTACGCGAGCGTGTAGACTTAGTGGATATGCATGTGAGTATGTGTTCGACTAGTCGAGGAGACGTAGTTGTAGTTGTTGTGTGGAGTTGTGCGAGTTGATGCGAGAGGGCGTGCG